GGGGGGGGGGGAATCAGCATCATTGCCACTACGGTCCTGCCAGGTATTGAACTCACTGTTCAACAAACAGATTGACACCATAAAATTAATCAAATTATGTAATACTGAATTATGAAAACTGGGATGTTCGTCCCAATATACTGCGCCACTCTTTACCTATAGCTTGTAGTTAATTGAGCTTAATTAACATACTTTATAGTAACCCTAATTCTAGGGAACAGAATGGTCACAGCATATTACGTGGTTGTAGGAACCAACCCTATATTTAGTATAGTAAGGACAGCATACCTGTATAACTGTGTATAGGGATGCAGTAACAGATTCAAGTTTTGGGATTGTTTCAACTAATTTTGGTAGCTTTATGCATCTGGGAAATTGTGAGGACGGTACACCTGGCATGTCTGTGTTGAGCGGTGCAGTGACATATTGCTTTCTGAGGGTTATGGCTTCGGGTGGACACTTTATGCAGATAGTGAGTCCCGTATAATAATAAGATGTGCTGTTAGTGAGAAATGTACTTATTGTTGTGGGGAAAATGACGTGTACAGAGAAATGAGGGGTACCCCCTCCGCTCTTACATGGAAATGAAAAACTAAATACCCCTCTCTTCCATATGTTGGGCTTTAAATGCCCGGCCACAGTTACCAGGGTGGGAAATCTTGTTTCCAGATTTATCAGTCCAGTCCCTCTGTCACTTTGAACAGCATTTCGGACTCTGTCTAAATTGAGCTATTTCCCTGTGCACACTCATCCCAGAACATACATTCTACATAACATTAACTTTCTACGTAATTAAAGTGGTTGTACATTGAAGAGCTATCTTGGGCATTCCACTCGTCTAGCTTCAATTGTCATCCCGAATTCTGAGTTACCGGCAACAATCCTAGGGATAGGATAGGACACCAGGGTCGCCTGCTTCTGTTTGTGTGTTGCCTGGCTTACTCTTTGATCTTGAAGTTGAATGAAGTATGTTTCTCCGAAACGTCGGACTCTTTCCGAACTACTCAGCGTTACAACCCGGAAGATCGTATTCTTCAGTCCTCCAAAGCATTCAAATAGCGCGACAGAAGAAAGAAACACCATCCAAATAGTGTATGAAAATACAAAGTATCGTTGGGTCTTTTCACGCCAAACTGAAACATCATAGGAATATACAATTTTGATTATTGTCCTACTTCACCTTTTCGTTCTATAGATCATAATATTGTATTTCAGCATCTTGTTGCATTAATGTCACAATGCAACATAAAAATTTTAGAGTCACTTTAATCTTTGTTCACAACATGTTTCGGCCTGATGACGGCCATATACAGCCATGCATACAGAAGTGAATGCTTTTTGGTAACGACTGATTTAGTTTGCTATAGCTTATAGGTCTTCGTATATAGCGTGACTTTAAACCATGCACCACTGAAAGTCAACACACACTCGGCGCGTAGCTCTATTGCATCAGATGGGATAAAACAGAGTAGGCGGTGCTCGCCGACAGGCGGCAGATTTGCCGTCTCGGCTTGTCGTCTGCAGGAGGTGCAGCGAGCGGTTTGAAGACTTGCTCCATAGATTGAATACATTCTCAGCAGTTTCTGACGCGGCCGCCGAGTCGGCGTGCAGCATCGTGTGTCTTGTCACAAGGCTGCGGCCGAGTCGGCGCAACCGCTCCGTGTGTCATCGCCCTTACCACATAACCCCTGAGACCATCTTCATGACGACCTCGTCAACTGCGGTGAAGAACTCGACAACCACGTACGCCTTTCTACCCATCGTGCCAACGACAGTCCCAAATACGAGGCAGAAAAAGATAATTCCAAGGGTATTAGTGCTGGATCTGAAACAAATATAAGATCTTGTGTGTTTATTGGTTTATTCGATGACCCTTTGTCACCTTCTGAGGTCAAGTGAAATGCAATACGTGGTACAGTCATTAATTTCATGGAATGTGGTTTTATCGCATCATATTACAAGGTATTCACATACACTTACACAGATCCACATCGACCCTCAAAATAGTTGCCGTTGGCCGATATGCAAGTCTGCCAACGTTGATATAGCTGCCGAAACACTGCTGAAACATATTGGCGGGAAATTCTCGTGCGGCGTCTCTTGTGGCATTGACGACCTCCTCGGACGACTGAAATCTACGACCACGTAGCTTTGCTTACAAGCGGTGAAAGAGAAAGAAATCGCACGGTGCGAGATCACGTGAGTACGGAGGGTGTGGCATAACGGTGACCTGTTGCCTTGCCAGTTCCTCTTTGACAAGAACAGAGCGATGTGCATGGGCGTTGTCGTGTAGCAACAGCCAATTCTTCCTACGCCAAATGTTTCGCTAGGGGATTTGCCTAGTTTCTGGCAGAAGATGATGTTTGCCCGTTCTTCAAACTGCCACATTTTCTATTTCCGCCACTTGCATGTAACTGCGGTTCACAATAGAGGCCGTAGTTCTGCTTAAACTGTGTAGACACAACTGCCTCTTGCTGTGACGAGAGACGAACTAACAGGGCATCATCTCGTGCCTCAACCTATCCGCACTGCAACGACGCTTTGCGGCTAGTCCACGAAANAATAGCTTTACAACTTCTGTACATATGCAATAAGCTGTAAAGTGCTCCTGTACAAACAAGCAAACAAAACAAACAAGTTCCGTTGCCTGTAGTCCGCAAGCGAAATATACCGACCGAGCGAACGCCACTTGTCGGCGGAGTTAGTGCCAACTTTTGAGGATAGAGAGTGTCACGTGGTTAGCGCAACGGTTCCACGCNATTGTTGACTGTGGTAGTAGGAATAGTAGGAAGAATGTTTTGGAAAGTGTGTAGAAAGAAACGACCCACTCAAAACTTCTATATAAATGGCCCAAAATGGGCAAACTAGCTTCTAAATTATGCGGCAGACCCAGTAAATAAACTGATTCTATTCCGCCTTGAATTCGGTAACTTTTAAAATCCTGAAAGTAGCTAACGTCACCCAAATGGATAAACGTCGGAAGCCGTAAAATCATGTCAATGGGCTAAGATAGATCGCAGAAGTCCAGGTGCGAGCGGCAC